GGTGTGAGCCACCGCATCCGGCTATGTATTCTCATTTTCTATTTCAGGTAATTGTGTTTGGTCTTAAAAACACAGAACATATATATTAAACAAAATATTTATATGAGCTAATCGGTTTTATGCCCAGACATGTGGACTACTTGAAAAAATCAATTCCTCCCTAAGAGGAGAAAGGAATGATGATTCTAGATTTTGCCTTAAGTCAATAGTTTCAAATACAATTCTCCCTTGTACTGTCCTGAGGACCTGAATGCTCTGCGCTCATTGCAGGGTTAACTGTTGAGGAGGTTTTGCAAATAGAAAGCTACTCTGTGAATTAAGTGCTGAAAATGATCTCAGCTACCCCAAATATGGCCTACAGTTAGATTGCTCTCCCAATCACCTTACAACAGATAGAGTTTCATTCCATGGGTTTGAGACTTTGAGGAGTTAAATGTGGAATGAGATGCAGTAAAGATTAGAAATGGGGGAGGGTATCCAGAAATGGCATGATGGGTGGATGTGACAACAGTGTGAAGTGTGTGAACAGCAAGGGGACAATTCCGTATGTCCAGGCTGGCAAGGAGGAACCCAATGAAGAAAGGTAGATGTGGAATTTGTGTAGGGTCTGCCCTAAAGAAGGGCTTGTGGAACAGTGAAGCCCCGCATCCAGCACACTTTGTTCTTTCAGGACTTATGCGGTCAGAAGCCACCACTCATGAAGCACTGGCACTTTTCATGATTCTTTACTAAAATATCATGTGCCTCAGAGAAGTAATATTTTTCTTTAAAATTCCTGTCCTGTCAACTTTGTCTCCTTAAACTTCCTGTCACATCTTTTTAAAAAACTTTTTTCTGCCAACTCTATTAGGCATGAATATCAAAGTTATATCTGCCTTATAAAAAAATTGAACAGTTTTTCTTGGCTTTTAATAGTCTGAGACAATTTATAGAACATTGGGACTATCTGGTCTTTTTGGATTATTAATATTTTTGCTTGACAAATCATAATTATATAAATGTATGAGATATAATGTGATATTTCAATATCTGCATACAATTTAGAATGATTAAATCAAGCTAATTAATGTATCTAGCAACTTATTTACTTGTCCCTTTTTATGGTGAGACATTTAAAATTTATACTCTTCATTATTTTGAAATGCTATATGCAAGACATTCTTCCTGACTGTAGTCACCCTGCCATGCAATAGATCTCAAAGTCCATTTTTCCTCTCTATCTGAAACTATGTAACCCATTTTCCTTCTATTTTTGCAGATACTTCTTCCCTAGACCATGTTCCCAGGCTCAGTGTGAAGCTGAACACTCTGCACAATCCCCCTGCCATGAGAGCGAGCTATGAAGTTCATTACACATTCAGGGAGTAGACAGTACAGCTCTGCTTCCCTTTCTGAGCACCTAGGGTAGACCCCACTTATTCAGTGTACCAGCCTGTTTCCAAGCCTGCAATGTATAGTACATAAACTCATTTATTTTTTCTCAGAGAGCCAAGTAGAGACACAGGCAGTTTTCTCCTCAAAATGTGCCGGAAATTCCAAAACAATCTCAAAACATTAAAGGCTATGTGCAGGAAGCATGCAGATGTCGAGTCCTTCCTTTGCAGAACCTTGCATCTCAGCCCGCCAGCATTTCCTTGCTGCTTCTCCTGACCCTTATCCCCATGCACAGACCATGGATGATACCGCACCTGTGTACTTGTGTAATTCTTTCCAGCAGCTGACCGAAATCCTTCCTACATGTTCCGGGTGGTGGACAGAAAGATTTTCTCAGGAAACATTGTAGGGAAGCTGGCAGGGGACAGTTACATATATGGGGAGGGTCACATTCTACTATTAGTGGATTTCTGTGGTCACAGGGAGTCAGGGCCAGTTGGAAATGGGAAGAAACAAGTTCCTGTTAACACAGTTGAGTGCAAGGCTATGCCCTAAAGACCTGCCATGCTCCCGGAGAGGTTCAGGATGCTTCCTTTTTGTCTTCTGATGAAACCAAAATCTATGGCTGTTTGAGAGTTTTGGGAAAGAGATGGCAGGTGAGGAGGTTAGGGCATAGATATGTTAATACTGCCACTATGAACCCCAAAGCACAATTTGCCATGATTGGTCTAAAAATAAGACAGTAACCCAGATGTGGCTGAATATAGGCTACTATCTAGCTTCCCTCTTTTATAGTCTTTGGCTACCAGTGATCCTTTTTGCCTATCCCTTGGGGGACTTAGGACGGACAAAGACAAGACAAGAATCAATGTAACATTTAAACAACAGTGAAATTGTGCTGTGATAGCCATCTCAATGTGATGTAAGTAGCCTGCAATGGTAAACAGAGTTGTTTTCTTTATGGCTGAAGCAAATGTGAATTTTATGCCTCTGCGCTCAAGCCCCTACCATGGCTTAAAAAATAGTCCTTCTTTTTGCTATAAATTTTCTATATGGAGACAGGTGAAGTGAGCCGCCATTTTCTTCTTCTGTTACTTTTTATGTTACATAATTTCAAAATGCTGGGAATTTTGTTGAAACACCACTCACTGCAGAGAACATGAGCTTGCATATTGAATTCTAAAAATACCCCCGTTGTCTGGCATTGCTAAGAATGCACGAGAGGAAATTCTGTTGTGTAAATCCCAGGGATATGACAAGTTTGACAAGATGAGCTTGATTGACCTTACTTGATGTGGTCACACAGGCAAATCTACCATTGAGGTTCTCAAAGATAGATAAGGCAGATGAGGAATGGCCCTCTTGAGATGAACACTGATTTGTTGTAACCTGAGTAGAAAAAATAAATCTGGGAGACCTTAAAACATTGCTTAATGAGTAAAATAATGTAATGTGAAGAATGATGGAGGATAGGTAAATATTTGGGGTTTCAAAATTCCTCTATAAGCCCCACAGTAAAAATTACAAATCATTGTTGTTTAGTAAAAATAATATGCATTTTTAAAAAATCAACTGGGGTAGGAGGGTGGGAGGAAATAAACATATTCATTAAAATGTTTATTGGTGAGCTGTGGCCGTTTTTCATGAGTCACTGACATCTATTCTAATACACAGACAAAGAAAAATCCTCAAAGGCAATGCTCAATGAGATCTTGGCACTATTTTTCACTTAGGAAGGATTAATTTCTATGAAGGGAAGCTTTTCAAAAACATGAAATAATGAGCTCTAAATGTATGTCCTTGTCAGGCACTTTAGCATAAATGGCTTGGACTATTTCCTAGGGGAAAATGAGATGCTTGGTAGGATGCAGGTGTAGAGGGAGCACATTTTGATTGGTGTCAAGATTGGGAAGAAATGATTGGGCTTTAGGATTGGGTGAAGGTAAGCCTGAATGATCCTCAGCTAACAAGCCTGGGTCAAAGACTGTGATCTGCAGAGAGAAAAAAACTGCAAAAAGGGAAGGAACTAGAGACCAATGTTGTGTATAGCCTCCTGTCTGAGATAAAGCTAGTTTCTCTTCCTGATGAATCACAGCCTAAAAAAGCAAATTCAGTTATTTGTAAGCTGTGTTTCCCAGCTGAACTACTAAAATCTAATTCTATGATTTCAAAGAGAGGGAGAAAGACAGAGATTGACTTTTGGCATCTAAAAACACATGTCTCCCACTATTCAATTGTGACTGCTCAGAGAGAACAACTCTCTGTATATGGAAGCTGAGAAACTGTGGGAAAAATAAGTTTATAGAGATAAGTGATCAGATAAAAGCAAGAATTCAATGGTTTCCAAATGTCTTGTCTGTTTCTTCTTTTATCCTGTCTCTTCTCCACCTACCCTTCCATGATTGCTGCAGGTATATACATAGAGTACTTTAATTTGTGAGCATCTGTTCACCCAATTTGAATTCCATATTCTCTAGGGGAAATTTTGTGATGCAACGAGCATAAAATGAGTTGCAGAACCATTGGTAGCAGGAAAGGTGGGGAGGGAGTCTCTTACCTGAGGTGCTACTTTGAAAACATTCTCTAATACTCTTGGCTTTCCTAATTAAGTGCTGTCACCTTGGCAGATGGTAAAATTATGTATGTGTTTTGCTCAATTCCCTTAGCAAGGACGCTTTCATTGGGGGAGTTTAATACTTTGAGGAAAAAAAACAGTGGCTACTTATGATATCACATTGAGATGGCTATCACGGCACAATTGCACTGTGGTTTAAATGTTGCACTGATTTTTGTCTCTTCTCTGTCCTTCATAAGTCCCCTGAGGGCTAGGCAAAAATGACTGGTAGCCTTTCGCCCGTTCCTCCACTGAAACCTGGAAATTTAAGTCAATAAGATCCCATTGGAATCCGAACATTTAAGTCCAAATAAATATCACCTGAATTTTTTGTTTTTTGTGTGTTTTTTTTATTTTGTTTTTAGACAGACTCTCGCTGTCGCCCAGGCTGGAGTGCAGTGGCATGATCTCGGCTCACCGCAACCTTCACTTCCCAGGTTCAAGAGATTTTCGTGTTAGCCTTCTGAGTAGCTGGGATTACAGGCACAGGCCACCATGCCCAGATAATTTTTGTATTTTTAGTAGAGATGGGGTCACCATGTTGATTATGCTAACCTCAAACTCCTGATATCATGATCCACCTGCCTTGGCCTCCCAATGTGCTGGGATTACAGGCATGAACTACAGCATCTGGCCAATATCACCTGAAAATTATTTTTAAAGGGCTATATGAATTTTTAAATTATGCTAAAAGATTGAGAATCATAATGAAGAAACATGTTTTTAAGGGAGATTTAAAAGGAGGAAAAGTTATCTAGTCTAACTCTAAACTCCCACCCTTCTCCGTCATCAACACATTTACCATTTACCAAAAGCCAGAAACATACATAATCTCTACTAATTTTCAGGGAAAAAATAAAAATTCATACTACAGTTACATAATTTATCATCTAAATTTGGACATTCAAAAAAGTATAAGTGGGTATTTTTAAAACATCTATTAAAACAACAGACATAACCTAGAACTGTCCTAAGCAAACTAGATAACTAGACATATAGCCGCCCTACTTACCTTCATCCTATAGATGTGCCCAGTTAGTTCTGAAACGATTGCTGCAAATCCTTCTCCAGCTTGGTGGAGAAGCCACTATGGAGCTGGCACATTGCTGCTGAGTCATCCTCTCCTTCAGCTCATAACTCACCATCTAATTTTGTTTCTACATTTTCAGAAAGCTGAGACCCAGGAAAAGTAATCAACTTTCTACCTCACAGCAACCTATGCGCTATACTTCCCTTGTCTTTTATGAGTATCCATTCTGTAGTTCCCAGATCCTCAGGGATGTTCCCCATGGCTTCCCTGAGATGAACTATAACATCAGTAACACTTCCAGGGATGTAGTTTCAAGAGTATAATTTTTTCCCTTAGCACTTAGCACATATACTAATTTATAGATCTCAAGAACTGATTGTCCTGAGTCTTGTCATTCAGAGTGATCCTCAGCAATGAAATTTTAATATTTCTTTCTTGATAATCGGAGATAAACTAAATATGTCTTTCACTATACTCACAGAGGTAAAGTCTTTAACAAGCACAAGTTAAGGAACTGTGGCTGTCAATATTGTTTCAAGGTGATGGCTTCCTTTTCTCCTTCTTGAATGGAGTTTAATATTGTTAGTGTTCAGAGAGAAAGCTCTAACATTTAGGACTCTTGGCCCTGCCAAACTTCCTTCCCTTAGGAGCAATACCAGGAATAAACTCTTAAGAACAGAGGGACGAAGTAACAGTAAAGACTCAAGGGGTAATGCTTAAGGTGAGTCTTAAAAGACTGATTTTCCTCATCTTTAGAATCCTGCATAGACAGAGATTCCACAGCATTTAGGAGAACGTTGAGAACTGGGAGCTTCTGCAGGGTTGGTGAGGAATTTGTGTGGACTGGCACTGAAGGACCCCAAGTAACACACTAAGGAGTTAAGACTTTATTCTGTGTCAACTAGGGAATAACTGAAGAAAGGTGAGTGAGAGAGAGATGTATATATAGTATTCACCTTTTGTAAGTAAGTCAGGTGACTTTGATGAGCTGGATTATAGGGTATAACATGATGCCAGGAAAGTAGCTAGGAGGCTCTTAGAAAAGCTTGAATAAGAGGACAGATCTGAGCTAACCGTCTGACTGAGAAGACTGATGGAAATGCGTGAATAAGCAGGTACTAAACTTATAGATGTAGGTTTCTGCAAAATAAAAATATGTAGTGAAACTACATAGAACCACTTAAGGAAGCACTGTATTACCAAAAATAGAAAAGAAGAAAATGACTAGCAGATTTATGGCTATAGAAACAGGACAATTAGTGGGATTCTAAACTGTGGTAAGGATTACTAAAGAAAGAGGGACTATTGGTAAGAAAGGGGTAAAAATAGTAAGTTAAATCTGAATGTATTAATTTCATTTGTTCATATGACATTGGATACGGATGTCCAGAAACTTATTAAGTGTCATCAAGTCCAATGCTCTTCTTTAAATGCGTGAGAATACTAAGATTAAGAAGAATGAAGTAAATTTAGAAGGATGGCCTAAAGTATTACAGAGCTGGACTTGGAACAGGAAGCTTCTGAGAGTCATTGGAGAATCTCTTTCTCTGAGCCAAAGCTTACCATGTCTTGCTGTTTTTTAGTTAGTTAAAAGGAAATTTGGTTGACTTAATAACAGGATTTTGGTTCCAGGAAGGATTTTGCTTGAATGTTGCCTTTTTGCCTAAGTTATTGGTATGTATGCAAGCTGTGTTTCAGCATTAATTGTATTAAGAAATTGTATAAATCCTGCTTTTGGAGCAAAATTCTATAAGAAGATGACACACCTCTGTGATGTCACAGGATCCTGAGAGGGTTTCTAAAGGTTATTGCTGAGGTAGTCACAATGTTCATTTTGATTGTCCCCATTTCCTCTTTTGTTTTATTCTGTTCAGCTGTGTTGGAATCAAGCAGAGGAAGTAACCCAAAGTGCATCTGGTTGAGAAGGATTCTCTAACTTCCCTCTCCAACATCTGCCTTGCTATGGGACCATTCAAACAAAAGGCGACCTCACAAATAGCCCTTTGTCAAAGTTCGCAGCCTGCTTTTCTTGTGAGAAATGCCCTTTTGCCTAATGTGGGTGTTGAAACTGTCGCTCATCAAAAGTGAAGTGTTTGTTCCTCGTGGGTGAGCACTAGCAATGGGAATGTGACTAGTTCCACAAAGTGAAGGCAGATGTTTGCAGAGAGGAGTCATCATTGAGAAAGATTTTTAGAAGCACATAAAAATATTATTAATAAAATATTACTTTTCTTTAAAGAAACAAAAAGCCCACAGCTGATCTCTCAGGCTTCCATGAGGGCTGTTTCTAAGACTTCAAAGAATATTTTTCACAGTTGTTTCAATCCCAATGGTTCTAAAATGATACTTATTTAAAATTATGGTGACTCAATGACATTTCTTTGGTTGATTTATTGTTTGAAGGTTATTAGAAAATGGCAACATCTTGGTGTGCTGGGTTCAATTTTAGTAATATATTTTCATAATTCCATTTTTATAAGTATCAAAACATGTTCTAGATATTTAGATTGATTTCATACAGTGGTTTTGTTCAAGTTGGATGAGCCAAAAAGGACTTGCACATTTTAAGATGTTGGCTGTGACTTTTACCTTGTAAGTCTCTTTGTCTCTGGCTTCTGCCCATGAATTTTTGCTTAGCCATGAAACATTGCATGTTTGTAATTTTGTTGTTGTTTGGTTTTACTTTGTTTTGTTGACTGTAGTTAAGGCAAACCTAGATGTTTATATTTATTCAGTGTATAACCTTGTATTGGGATAAATTCTTTGGCTGACTCACTCCACACCAAATGAGCAAACATGTATATATCCACCCCGAAGCATGTCTCTACTAGAGGGAGATGCAATCTTGGCCTGTAACAAGTCTTTCTTTCCACTTGTGACATCAAGGTTATAAGTCTCACATGCACTTTAGTTGATGGAGTGCTCCACAATGTGTTGCAGGGCCTGGTGGTTAGGACTGTGTTCCTGTGCTAGCCTCTGTGAGTGGCATGCTTCCTGAATCGTGCACCAGTGGCTCTGAACTATTTGGTCACATGAAGGAAGGGAAGGGGAGACAGAGGGAAGCCTCTGTGATTATCTGATTCCCATGGAAGTTTGCCTTGTTATGTTGCTGGGGCACTACAAGGAAAATGCTACTCACTTCTTTTAAAAAATCCCAGCTGCAGAGGAGTTGCTCACCACAACAGGGGCTGTTGCCAAAACACTCTACTGGGTGCTGCTGTGGCCTAGAAATAGTTGCAAATAATCAGAAGTTCTCGGGAAAAAAAGAAAAAAGAAAAATGAAAGCTCATGGAAATATTTTAAGATAAAAGGAGTCTTATCTGTGGTTATGTATATACAAGCACAGTTTGTGGGTTTGGAGACCAAGGCCATACTTTTGTTCATACTGTTCAGGCTCTTTTGTTCTAGCTGGATTAGTAAAACTTTTTCTCTTGGCTTAGACAACATCAGGTCTTAATTGGTGGCTCTGTAGTATATTATTTTAAAAATGCACAAACTATAAAAAGGTAAATTGCAGTTAATAATTTAATTACCTTATTAGTCCATTCTCACATTGCTATAAGGAACTACCTGACATTAGGTAATTTACAAAGAAAAGAGATTTAACTGGGTGTATATCCAAAGGATTATAAATCGTTCTACTATAAGGACACATGCACATGAATGTTCATTGCAGCGTTGTTTAGCAAAGACCTGGAACCAAGCCAAATGCCCATCGATGATAGACTGGACAGGGAAAATGTGGCACACATACACTATGGAATACTATGCAACCATAAACAAAGGATGAGTTCATGTCCTTTGTAGGGACATGGATGAACCTGGAAACCATCATTCTCAGCAAACTGACACAAGAGCAGAAAATCAAACACCGCATGTTCTCACTCATAGGTGGCCATTGAACAATGAGAACACATGGACACAGGGAGGGGAGCACCACACACTGGGGTCTGTTGGGGGGAAATAGGGGAGGGACAGCAGAGGGTGGCGAATTGGGGAGAGATAGCATGGGGAGAAATGCCAGATATAGGTGAAGGGGAGGAAGGCAGCAGATCACACTGCCATGTAAGTACCTATGCAACGATCTTGCATGTTCTTCACATGTATCCCAAAAGTTAAAATGCAATAAAAAAAAAAGAGATTTAATTGGCTAACAGTTCCACAGGCTGTACAGGAAGCCTGGCTGGGGAGGCCTCAGGAAACTTACAATCATGGCAGAAGGAAAAGTGGAAGCCATCATGTTCTTCACGACTGTAGCAGGAGGAAGAGTGAGAAAGGGGAAGTGCTACACACTTTGCAACAAACAGATCTCAAGAGAACTCACTCACTGTCAGGAGAAGAGCAAGAGTGAAGTCTGTCCCCATGATCCAATTACCTCCCGCCAGGCTGCCTCTCCAACACTGGGGATTATTAATGGACACGAGATTTGGGAGGAGATGGAAATACAAACCATATCTGTTAGTTTTTATACAGAAGGTAAAATTTGATATCATAGCTGTGATTAAAATATACAAATTGTTCAGTTGTTTTGCTCTAATCCATGATGCTATGTCACTGTATTGCTGGAAAAATTTCTTCAGATCTCCTGTTTTCAGTTTACTCTGATTCTAAACATGTCATTAATCCAAGCCTGTAAATGGAATATGGAATGAGGAGGAAAAAAGTATTTAACTGAATGCATCACTTCTCCAAGCTGTAGGCACGACCTTGGGATGATGACTCCCATGAAGAGGAGGGTGAAAAGCTTCCTCCATAAAATGTGCTGTAATAAGAGTAAAGCTTTTGTGAATGGGTACTTGGGGATTTTAGGAAATCAACAAATAACAAACATTCTTTTTTGTTTGTTCCCTGAATTTGGAAAAATAAGACAGAAACCAAACAAAAGAAGAATAAAAAATTACTTTCATGACTGATAAAGATTGCATCAGAGAATACAATTTAATATGTAGCCAAGTGGACATCTAATATTTTCTGTACTCTCCATAATGGATTCAGTCTAGCACTCAGAACTATAGGCATTCCTCTTGTAAGAGTGGGAGCAGTCCACATGGTTGAGAGCAGTACACAGTGCCCTCTCTGTATACATAGCCATCTCTACAATAGATCAAAGCCCACAAGGCCTTCTTAAAACTCAACATCACATCAACTCATTCTTCCGTACAAAAAGTATGGAAAAGATTGGGAATAGAGGCCAGAGGAAAGCATAGAAAGTC